GTGTAGGAACTTCCTCATGGTAGCTGCTTCTGAAATAAAAAAACGCTGGGACTTTTCAGATAATGTGATGTCGGAAATAAGCTCTTTAAATCCTAAATTAGCTCTTTCGAGCGACCACAGACAGAACAAGCCTTCCATCGTGCCGTTGGCTACAATATTGCCTAGAATAATTACTCATAATACTGCAACAGACGATGGCAGTTTACTGCAATCCTTAGATTACCAGTGGCGAAATCTCCCCCTAAAAACCTTTGAAAACCTTTGCGAAGAAAGAATTTACTGTTCTCGCACAGTTCGCTCTTGTCGCTTTATGCATCCCTCACGCCAATGCAGATTGCGACCGCATCTTTAGCAAGATAAATCTTATTAAGACGAAAAGTCGGAACAGAATTATGACTAACACTATTAATGATGTGGTTATGGCTTCCGATAGCGCAAAACGTCTTGAAAAGGGATGTATATCATTTGAACCCACGAAACAAATGACAAATAAAATTGTCTCCAACGTCCTGTATGCAACAACTTCTCTGCAATCAAATCCGTCTACATCTACACGTCGAGATTTCGAACTCGAAGAAGAAGACGACTTTGAAATTTTCCATTTCCTGTTTAGTTTCCATATTAATTAATTCCGTGCCCTAAGTTTTATTATTTTTAATTAAAAAAACAATTAATAACATGTTTTTAATTTATGCAAATATAAAGAAATAGCAAAAACCTATTAAATTTGGATTTAGACAGCTTAAATAAATAAAAAAATCTATTGCAAAAAAATACAATATTTCTACCCAAAATAATCTGTTTGCGCGGAAAACAATTCGTATTTTTTTTCGAGGGTATGCTTGTCAAGCTTGTCCTTCCTTCGACCTTTCCTTCACCTATCCTTTCCGTACACACCGGGGTGGTGAGGTGAGAGGGGAAAGAAGATAATTCTAGAATGTCGCGTGATTCGCAACCAATGAGAAGCGCGCCCCTCCAAGACGCATTGATAGGAGGGCCGAAGTAATATAAGCTAGCACACGGCCCTCGTGCGCTCTCTTCCCTTCGGCCGCCAGTTGGAACCACACCGCCTAGGACAGTCGTGTCCTAGAGGGCTTTGCCCACGCGCACCGCTAGTTCAACCGCATTAGCCTAGAGCAGTCGGGCCCCAGGGGATCCGCCAGAAGTCGCACCGCAGCAGCAAAGCGTCCAAGCCGCATCGAAGTAACACCCCGGTAAGTGCGCTTCCTTATTTATGTTACCTGCTTGAATATTTGTGTTTTATTAGTTCATCCGCCCTAATTTCATTTCTCCTAATGTGATAAAGCAGGGTTCCTTCATAAACCTTGGCAAGCAATAGGTTTTTCTTGGAAGAGCGAGTGCATTGTCAGGGAACCGAGTGCCAAATCCACCATCTTGTTTAGGCATCATCCGCGTATACAGTCCACATAGTGTAACATCTCGCGTAATAGGGTCAAGGCTCGACCGGGGAATAGTGAATCGGCAACCTTAAGGCCCGCCGCTCAACCTACAATAATTTCTAGCTTGGCAACATCATAATTTCGTACCAACTATTTCCCAACACTGAGTCTGATACTGACATTGAAATTGATGAGTATTGAGATTGAGCACCATGGTCCATGGCTACTAATGCTTACTTTGGCAGTCTGCCTACGAAACATTTAAATTTAAATGGTATGATGTATGAAGATTGTTCGGATTAATCCCAGCCGCCAAATTTCGATACCATCCACACCATCTGGATGCTTGGCAGTCCACCACTGTATGTTTCAAAAGGAGTTTTCTTCCACGTACAATCTCTCCGTGGAATAGTTTACCACCGGCAAGGAATACGACCTGGGGACCTTCAAGAAAAGAGCTTACTCCTTTCTAAAGGGCCGGCAACGCACGTGCAATTCCCCTGGTGTTGCGATTGATCATGGGCGGCGGTAGTCACTTAACATCAGGTGAGCCGCATACTCGTTTGCCCCCTCATCTATAAAAAAAATTTAATTGGTAAAGCATGCAAACTTATAAAGTATTAAAGTTAACAACTTAAAAGAAATTCCAAGTAATGAACGGCAAACACCAAAGTTAAGTAAAACAGTGTCTATAACACAGAGAAATAATAAAATATAATTAAATACATACATAAACACTCACGCCTGTCACCCTTGGGGGTAGGCAAAGACTACAGACTTCCATTTGGCACGATCCTGATTCCTGACACACCTCTCTCGCTTCCTACACATCTATATTCCTACGCATACATGCTCGTCGATTAAAGGTACTCTCAATTTGACCCATTTTCAATATACATCGATAATTTGGTCTATAAATTTTCGCCTAGGACATCCCTTTCAGACTATTCCGTTCACTCCTGCAACATTAATTTGCTTTGTCACTCCCTAGGCGCTGTCTCCACGAGCGAGAGAATCGCGTCAATATTATTGTCGTGCCACGTATTTCTATATACTCTCTATGAACGCGTCTCCACAGGGCGATTTTATCGCGGCGATGCGACGAGTGGGAACGTAACGCCGCGGTATCGTCGCTACTAACGGCGCGCTCGCCGCGGAACGTGGCGCTCTCGCAGCGTGCGCGCTGTCAAACACAGCGTCATTTCAGTGTTGCCTCTCGCCAAGCAAGGACTTTACGTATCGACAAGCATACAATATAAGTATAATGTTTAACATTGAAAAGTTTATATTTGAAGTGAGAGAGAGACGTCGAATACCAGTTCTTCTTCTTCCGGCAAATCAAGAGCTCCTTCATGCAGATTTTGACCTATAATTGAAGATTGAAAAATAGTAGAATCATTTTCACGGCCATAAAAACTTACATCAATAACAGTAAACAAATAATTTGAATCCACCAAAGCCAATAAAACGATTGAGTTGTACTTTTTATAATTAAAGTATAGAGAGCCGGAATTTCGGGGGCACTGAATTCGAATGTGTTTGCCGTCTAGCGCTCTCAAGCAATGTGGGAAATTTGCATTGTCTTTAAATCCCTCTGAGATTCTTTTCCATGATTCTTTGTTTGGGGTTGCCATTTCTGTAGGTGCTAGCACTTTCCATATAATTCCACATGTTTCTTTTATTATTTTAGCTAACGTTTTTTTTTTTCGAAATTTTGTACTTATTCTGAAGGCGTTTATAACTTGTTCCAGTAGCGATATATCTGAAAAATGACTTAATTATTTTAAAAATATACTTTTATCATATTCTGCTTTTTTGAAATCGGTTAAAAAACGAAGACCCCACCAAAGCGGTTTTTATTAATCTGTGTTTTTTATTAATATACATAATAATATATACATAATTACATACATATTATATATACGTTACATAATATACATATAAAATGCGCAAATTTAATATAGGTATTACTACAAGTAATGTGAATATATGTTACAGACACATATAGGTGTGTAATCTGTATTATTTTTAGGAAAAACAAATAACAATCAATTTTGGTTCGCTTGTGTCTAGCCAGATTGTAAAAGTGCTTCAGTGATATTCTAAATAAATAAAATTTAACGTAATAATTCTTTATTTCAGGACTTGAGTTAATGATAAAATGGAAATCTTTAAGGGATCAATTTCGTAAGGAGTTAAAGTTGCAGCAATGTTCAAAATCCGGTCAAGCTGCCTCAAAACGACGAAAGTATATCCATTATGATGCATTACTTTTTTTAAAGAAACACACAGAACACGCTTTAACGTCGTCAAACACTAGGGTTTGGGTCCCGGGACGTCTCGTGTCTCTAATCCCGGGACTTTCGGGTCGAGACTAGAGACGAGACAAGATTGTCGAAAATGTTATGTTATCATTTTTATTTTCAAATAATTGAAGGAGCCTAGCGCCATCTGTTAGTTAAATTTCAAAAGGAGTGTCAGTTGTTTGAAGCAACCGAAAAACTTACAGAATGTTTAGAACAACTGTATAAAGCCTTAAACACAATTAAACCGACATCTGTTGAAAACGAGAGTATGTTCTTGTTCGGTGGCATTATTACAAAAATCAGAAACAGATTATCGGACAAATTTGTTAACGCTCTGATTAAAAGCCTATTTTATTAAACAAGCAAAGAAGTCTAATTAATGTATTAGTTGATTATTTGAAAGTCTGATTTATAAGTCGGCTTTATTATTTTTATTTAGATTATTTAATTATGAAACAAATCTGAATTAACAATGTAGTTATTATGACCAGTGATGAGATTCTAGAATTACTAGATAATACTAAAGTTATTGAGAATTAGTATGATTTTTTACTAGGTTCTTTTTATAACTATAAGATTTAACCGCCGCAAAGAATGAAAATATTAAGATAAATTATATTTTTCTTAATAACATTAATAAATGTTGATTTTTACAAAAATTGCCTTTTTAAATACGTTTCACCTGAAATTTACTCAATTAAAATTCTTCAAAAAAGGCTCACTTCTCTTAAAAAAATTTTTCTTGAAAGTTGAGGTCCTGGGAATTCCCGGGACTTTGATAGTAGACTTAAAAATTGTCGAGAATTCCCAAACCCTATCAAACATGCTCAACGAGGACAGTCAAGAAGTTTTTGAGGATGACGACAGTTCGGTTAATACTACCCCCAGTGTTACCGAACCATCCACGTCTAATAAAAAGAAAACGTTAGTCCAAATGTTTCTGGAATCGAATAAAGAGATATCGAATGTTATGCGCGAGAGCATAGATATATAAAGAAATAATGTTCAACGACAGTATAATGACGAGCGTGGAAATGAGGCATTTTACCGTTCGATGCTACCACTTATGGACAAAATAAAAGAAGATTATTTAATTGACGCCAGAACTGAGATTATGTCTGTGATTAAGAAATACATACCACCATCACATACATTGGAAGAATCATATCCTCGTGCATCCACACCAACAAGCGATGACGATATTGCTCAAATGTTAGAACACTTTGATGGAATATAAACTTTACGATTTATATAACTGATGTAAGCGTTTAACACAAATAAAACTGCTTAAAACTTACTGTAGTGTTACTGCTAATCTTTCACATGGCCCGATACTTTTCCTCATATTAGTATCTTGCTTTGATAAGTTTCTTGACAGTAAACTTAACAGTTCATCGTAAACAGGAATTGGCATTAAATATTCATCTTCAAACCAATCTGGATGATGTCGACATTCTTCATAATTCACATGGAAATGTCCATGACTTTTACGACGTAGTAGCATAGGATGTGTCCACCAACGGCGCTTTTTTCCTTTCTTAATAACAATAACTGCATATTCACTAGCGTACTTACACAAGCACCCCATAACACTACATCCATAATAAGGAATTATTTTATTGACTGATACACTACTTATTTCGGTCTTGTCTGGCACCTAACTGAACTCTTTCAACAAATAAAAGCACAATGCAAAATCGGCGATTCCGTTAATCGTCGCGGACACGCTGCGGTTCCGTCACGAGTCGTGACGATACGCTGGCGGAATAATCGCTCGTTCGTGGAGATTACCCGACGATAGAGGCGCGGACTAGTCGCGATTCTCTCGCTCGTGGAGACAGCGTCTTCATTCATTCTTTCTACATGACCATACCTTTCCTTTCTTAATCCTGGTCACAACATAATGCAAACCACACTCTTATTACACAATTTCTCACCCTGTCTCTCAGATTCAGGCCTAATATAGTCCTTAATGACCGCATTTCTACTGTGTTTATTCTACTCTTGTGCTTCTTCTGCCACACCAAACTTTCACAACCATATGTTTTTAAGCAGGGTTTAACAGCATTGTGTATTGCCATACCTACATGTCTTTTTTGACACATTCTGACTCTCCCCAATAGAGTGTAGAGCCCCATTTCCTTTATTTTCTGCATTCACATGTCGTTCTATATCCTTATCATGCCGTTCGATGCCGTTCTAGATACTGAAATCTGGCATCTGCATCTTGATACAAATAGTGCAGTGGTGGACTTGTAATGGGCTGTAATGATGATGATTCAAAAACTTGAATGATTCATTTATAAGAAATAGATGTGCTACATAACTTTTAATCACAATTAATTGAAGTGTTAAAAGAAAAATCACTTCTTAAAACAGTACATAGGGTGTGTAGTATGACATTGAAATAAAATAATTATTGTAATGTGCTTGTGATATGCTTGATTAAAAATCACAAATCAGTTGATTCCGTGCCTCTTTAAACTTACCTACAATAGATACTACCCAAAACTTCTACTTCTACCCAAAGCTTCGATCAACAATATTATTGTTGTTGATCGAAGCAAACAAAACTTATAAGCAAAACTTAAAGAACATAACCCTATGCTACGCTGGCTTAAGGTTTTTTTTTAGGATAGGGTGACAAGCGAGCACATAGGCCACATGACGGTGAATGGTTGCTGCGGCCCATGGACATCTACATCTATACTCGATTACTAATTAAGCCTTAAATGCATTGTGATGGAAATTTCCCTCAACCAATTTAATATCATTTTTTTTTCGTTTTCATAGAGTACGGCTATCGTATTTTTTGTATATCGTAACTTTTACGCAACAGTAGTCATGTTTTCGAATGAAAAAAGAAGTTTATACTTCAATTTCAGCTGTCAAATGTTGTTTCAAAATCTCAATACTTGATATTTTGCTTGGTGAAGATTTCGTTTATTGTGATTGTAAAAAAGTTGGGATTGTCAACTGAACATCAATAACGGTTTTACGCGTTTTTGGTGTCATTTTAATTATTTTAAGTTTTCTTGTAATATTCTGATTACATTCCTTATATATTTTAGTATATATTAATAATATTTATTTGCATCACAAAATAGTTTAACATAGCCTTAGTCTCTCGGTCGCCGTGTCTAATCCAATTCCGCCTAAGCCACCGGATCCGAATTATTCTGACACTAACATTATTTCCTCACCAGCTGCTTATGTGGAAATTGAAAATGATTTAGAAGGTTCACTTAAAAAACCACGGCAGTCATTATCGCAAGAAATTTTTGATGACAACTTCAAAATTATTTCAAACAAAAAGAAAAGAAAACATAAAACGAAGGAAAGGAAGAAGAAAGAGCATGCTAATCTGGTTGACATAAATAGAAGAATTTCAGCTTTTTCCACCAATTCCTCATTCTCAGAATCGGACTGCGATACTGGTAATATTTCATCATCTAAAATTGAATTGAATCTCCCATGTCTTTATCATCCAATATTGCTTGTACACAATCATCTGAAATCCTTCTTTCACAATCATCTGGCAATCCTCTATCACAAACATTAAATTCTGCCAATAGTTATATCTCTTCTAAATCTCTTAACACGCATATTGATAGCGATAATAAAAAAATAGAGTCACAAAGATTTCAATCTCTTCGTTCTTATAATTCTACAGATTCGGGTCCTTTTATCGTTCATGTTCAAGTAAAGGAAGACTCTCCTAATTCTGGTAAAACTTTAAATGCCATTTCATTTGGTCACTTTTTGAAAAAATTAAATGTACATAATATAGTTAATGGAGGCCTAAAACGTATCGGGAGAAATAGAATAACTGTTGAATTCTCTAAATTTATTGATGCAAATCTATTTTTAGAAAATCCATCCGTAAATGATAAATATAAAACCTTTATTCCATCATTTCACGTATCTCGTATGGGAGTTATAAAAGGTGTACCAAAAGATTGGACACCAGAAGAGATTATTTCCGAATTATCTTCGTATCCAAATACCATTCCCGTATTAAAAGTAAGAAGATTAAATTACCGAGTTCACAACGAGGACAAAGTCAGATATGAAAGCTCTGAAAGTGTCGTAATCACATTTGACGGTCAAATTCTTCCCTCGAGGGTTTATTTATGCTATTCTTCCATTCCTGTTGAAATTTATAAGCTTCCAACGATCCAATGCTTTCAGTGCTGCAGATTTGGACATACTAAAGATTTATGTCGTTCCAAGCCAAGATGCTCAAAATGTGGAGGTGATCACTCCTCTTCTTCTTGCGACAAAGATAATGGATCTTTTCGTTGCTTATTTTGATCAGGTAACCACAAAGCCGGAGATTCTAGATGTCCTGAACACACAAGACAAAATAATATTAAAATTGAAATGGCACAAAAGTCTATCTCATACCTAGAAGCATCTCAAAAATATCCACAAGTTTCTTCAAAATCATATGCTGATGTTTTGATTTCTAAATTCCCTGAAAATTCTTCGCTTTCTACTAATCCTTCAGTGAATAATTTTCCTTCCAACCCCTACATCTCATAAAACTTCTTATAAGAAATCATTATATATTCCTAAACCATTACGTCACCATTCACAAACAGGATACGACAAAAAAAGTCATGAAAAAATTATTGAAGATTTTTCAATTCCACAACCTGAGGATGGTTGTGCTCTTCGGGTTTCACCAGTTACTTCACAGGATAATTTTGATTCTGTAGAAAGCATTATAAGTTTCCTTATTAACATAATCATATCTTCGTATTCGTCGAAGCTACCGTCCCACGTTGCTCGCTTACTAAATTCTATACCTAAAATTCTCCAAGACATTCACTCTCACAAAGATCCTTCAATGGAATTGTAGAAGCATTTTAGATAAACGTACTGAAATAATCTATTTATTAAAAAAATACAATGTGTGTATCGCTGCTATTTCAAAGACATGGCTAAAACCGGATTCGAATATCAGAGTACCTGGTTTTTGTCTTGTTCGAAGTGACAGATCTGATGGTTATGCCGGATGTGCTTTGCTTATAAAAAATAATATAACTTATTCCATTATAGATGTTTATGATGAAATATTTGACTTTAATATTGTAGCAGTAAGAATTCAAAATATTACTTTCGTTTCTATTTATGTTCCCTCCCCTTCTGTCCATACGATTCGCAGAATAAAATCTTTAATAGCCTCCTTACCCAAACCATTTATAATTCTTGGTGACTTTAATTGTCATTATTATTTATGGGGGGATAATACTGATAAATACGGTAGTTTATTAGTTGAAATAATTGACGAACTTAATATTGGTGTTCTTAATACTGGTAAAATTACCAAACGCTCTCGTCCTAATGAGTCTAGAAGTGCTGTAGATTTATCAATTTGTACTCCTGATTTAACCACTCTTCTAAATTGGTCAGTTCTAGATAGCTCTCACGGCAGTGACCATTTTCCCATTCTGATTTCCTTTCCAAACAAATAATTGGCAGAAATTAACAAAAAACCATGTATTAAACACAAATTAGACAGAGCAGACTGGAACCTCTACAATATTTTTCTTTACAATGAAATTCTAAAAATCGCTCCTATTTCTGAAAATAATATAACTTCTATTGTTGAAGCATTTACAAACGCAGTTATAAATGCAGCAGATCAAACAATTCCTGTTAAAACTCTAAATAATAAATGTAGGCCCTCCCCTCCAAGGTGAGATTCTGAATGTACTGAGGCCATTCGTAATAGGAAAAAAGCCGAAAAACAATATAAATTAGACACGAGTTCGGAAAACTATTCATCCCTTCAACGTGTACAAGAAGTGACTAAAAATACTCTTCGCACAAAAAAACAAACACGTTGGCATGCCTTTTGTTCCTCAATTTCTCCTTCAATACCTTCATCAGTTGTTTGGCGTAATATTAGAAAATTTCGCTGTTGTTTTTCATCTTGTTCTTACAGTGGTGCCATTCCCTATCAATCTATAAACACTTTTCTAGATAAACTTGCCCCCCTCTTCTGCTCCTTTGAGAGAGGAGCTACCTCAAAGTATTCCATGTGATTCTTTTTTTTGATCCCTTAGAACGTCAATTTTCTTTATATGAATTAAAGCTCGTCCTTTCTCACGTTCAAGATTCAGCTCCTGGTTTAGACGGTATTCCATATTCACTACTTGCCAAATGTAATGATCAAATTTTATCCTACTATTTAAATATCATTAACGTTTTGTTTGACATAGGCTTTGTTCCTGACTGTTGGCGGACTCAAGTAATTATTCCTATCTTGAAACCTGACAAAAATCCTAACGACGGCTCTTCTTATAGACCGATCGCTCTATCCTCAACTCTAATTAAAACCTTTGAACATATGATCAAGAACCGTCTTGAATGGTATGTAGAAAGTCACGGATTGTTATCAAATTCCCAATATGGATTCAGAAAAGGTAAAAGCACATATGACAGTCTTTCTATCTTCACCACAGATATTAGACTAGCATTTTCGAGAAATGAGTCGGTCCTTGCTGCTTTCCTTGACATTTCTTCTGCTTACGATAATGTCAGACTCAACATCCTTAGAGAAAAGATGTTTAAGCTTAATATATCCAAAAAACTTACAAATTTGATTATCAATTTATTTCTAGATCGATATATACATATTAAAATTGATGATGATCTAAAATATACTCGAAAGGTTTTCAAAGGCCTTCTACAAGGCTCTGTTTTAAGTCCTTTATTACACAATATTTATACGTCAGATTTGGACCAGTCTATTTCAAAGTGTAGAATTTTGCAATATGCTGATGATATCTTAGTTTATGTTAATGATAAATGTATAGAATCTTGTGCTAATGCGATAGAACAAGATCTCCCCTCTATGGCCTCTTGGTCAGATGATCATGGACTAGAACTTTCCCCAAATAAAAGTAATACAGTAATTTTTTCGCGCAAAAGAGTTTTACCTGAAATCCAAGTTCGCCTTTTTGATTATCCGCTCGTAAATATTCAACAAGTTAAATTCCTAGGTGTAATTCTTGATAATAAATTATCCGGCATGCCTCATATAATTTATAACCAAAAAAAATTCGAAAAAAATATAAACATTCTTAGAGCTTTGTGCGGGGTATGGTGGGGCGCTCATCCATATTATTTAAAATTAATTTATAATGCAATTATAAGAAGCCGATTAGATTATGCCTCATTTCTTCTTGAACCAGCTAGTAAAAAAAGGATTAAAAATATTAGATATCATTCAACACAAGTCTTTAAGATTAATTATAGGCGCTATGAATTCGTCGCCTATCAGTGCCTTGCAGATTGAATGCGGTGATCCTCCACTTTTTATTAGACGACAATATTTATCGGATTCCTTTTTTTATCGGGTTCTTCAATTTTCAAACCATCCATTACTCCCTAAAATTCGTTTGCTTTCTCAGTACATTTCAATTAATTCAGGAAAATACTGGCGTAATAAAGAAACTCCTAACCTAGTTAAAAGCTATGAACATTATAATTCCTTACTAGATCCTATTTATAGGTCGGCGACTCTGCCTCTTTTCTCCAATTCGTTTGAAGTTGCACTTTTCAAACCCAATGTTATATTAGACATAGGATTAAATAAATTTTCTATTGAATCAAATAAAAGATTTATATTTACGTTGGACAAGAATTTTCCAGATTGTCATTATATTTTTACAGATGCTTCTAAGATTAACTCAAAAGGTTGTACTGGATATGCAATATACCATCAAAATTGGAGAATAGTTCAAAAAATGAAAAGTCCTCCCGAATCTTCAGTTTTTACTGGAGAAATGTTAGCCATTTTACAATCAATAAAATATTGCTATCTTTTTAAATTAAAATCAAGCGTGATATTTTCAGATTCTCTTAGTTCTTTACAAGCATTGTTATTTAATCCTTTCTATGACATTTCCCGCAATCCTTTGATATTTGAAATTAAGAAACTTCTATTCTTATACCAATTCCAAAACATCAACATTTCTCTCGTTTGGATTCCGAGTCATATTGGTATATCTGGTAATGAATATGCTGACAAACTTGCTAAACAAGCTATAGTCTGTGGGGATACTTTCTTATATAGATAGAGATAGATGGTCAAAACATTGGAACAAAACCAAAACGACAAAAGGCTGTCACTATACCAAAATTCAACCCATCATTCCTTCTAAGCCTTGGTTTTATAAATTATCCTTAAATAAGAAACATACATCAATGTTATGTAGAATGCGCTTGGGTCACTGCTGTAATTCGGTTCACCTTGCTAGGCTTCATATTAAAAATTCTTCAATATGTGAATGTGGTTTGGATATTGGTGACCTCAACCATATTTTCTTCTCGTGTCCGTTATATCATCATACTTCATTATTTAACACTTTGGTAAATCTTAAAATTCCTCTTCCTACAGAAATTTGTTCTCTTTTAATTTTTTCTAAAAAAAGTGAAAATGTTTTCAATTGTCTTATGGAATTTTTAGAATTAAATAATATTAGATTATAAAATTGTATTCATTATTTAGCTATCAATCGTCTTTATTTTGTAATACTTTTTATTTTTAATGTGGTATTGAGTTTAGTATTATTTTAATTCAACCTAATATCCATCATTTATTTAATATACTTCAGTACGTCATTTCATGATTCATTATTATAGTATTCTATGGTTCTTAACATTATGATTTTGGTTTTTAATCAGAATCGTAGTTTCTCTTTAGATTGTACGTCGTTTCGTTTCAAGTTACAAGTATTTTTATTGACTGGAGGTTGGCAGTAATTGTTAGATTGCAATATTAAAAAAAAAAATGTAAAAAAGTTGTATAAAATACTGACATACTGACGGTTTCTTTTCAAGTTAATCATAATTGATGGATTTGAGGTTAGTATTTTGATTTATGTCTTTATTTCTGTTATAAATATTTTCTATATGTATGTAGAAACAAACCCAAAATTGTGTTGATGTAAATTTACATCATCATGTAATGACGTTCATTTAGCTTGTAATGAAAGTTAGTGAAGTGCTATGGTTTGATATAGTTTTGTTTCATTTTGATTCCAGGTGTTGATATCTTACAATTTATAACAGAGATATAGAACATTATTTAACATCTTTGGAAGGTGGGTTGTTGTCGGAAGATGACATGGAGAAGTCTGATGAAGAGGAGGAAAATGTGCCTGAAAGTTACGACGGAGATGATTTACTGAATATGTTACAAAGCAATGAGGAGGACACAGAAAACTCACAAAACCACGAAAGTGACCTTCCCTTGATTGGAAATGAGGCAATAGACAACCAGGATGTAGACAATAGTGCCCCTAGAGTACATATATTTTCAGGATAGTTAGATAAACTAAAACAGATCTGGAAAAAAGAAACTTAGAATATATCTAATACAGTACTTACCCAACGAGTCTCATATGTGGGGGCTTATACTGTATGTTTGGTGTAGTGTGCAAGGATTTGCATATAACTTAGATGTATATGCTGGCTGGGCAGGACCTTACCAACAAACCTGAAAATGAACCACATTTAGGCTCAACCAGCAATAATGTCCTTCGTTTAGCCTGAGATATACCAAGGCAAGTCAGTCACATTGTCTATTTTGATAGTTTTTATACATCTCTGCCATTGGTGTACTATTTAGCAACTTAAGGAATCCTTCAGTAGGAACAGTTCAACAAAATAGAAAGGCTAATTCAAAATTGCCTGATAAAAAAATTATGAATAAATCTATCCCAAGAGGTAGACATGAAGGAAGAGTAACAATATTTCAAAGTGTATTTATGAGTGAAGTAGCATGGAAAGACAACAAAGTAACATTACAGTCATCATATGTTGGTGCTTTGCCCTTGAATATTGTATCATTATGGCAAGAAAAAAAAAGAATGCAGAGATTCAATGTCCTAAGATTATAAGTGAATACAATGCCCATGTAGGAGGTGTATATCTAATGGATAGTCTACTGGGTAGGTACAGAATAAGTTTCAAGTCAAGAATATCGATACTTCCCACGTAAGTTGTATCCCCAAAACTGCAATTTTACAATAGAGCATTTTAAAGATTCAAATTGGACTAAAAACTGCATTTATGATTGTATTTTTGTGAAATTTGGTATATGAATGTAATTTATAGTATTCTTGATTATAATTGAAAGATAAATTAAAAAAAATGTATATTTTCTGAGATATTGTTCATACAACATTTTACTGCGGAGTACAGGCTGCGACATTTATCGTATCTCATACTTACAATATTATACCGCGGAGTTTAGATTTCGTCAGTTGTTGTATATAATAGTTACAACAATATACATTGAAAAATATAAGTCTCATTCCACTGTATGTGGCAATAACAATTTACATTGGTTAAAATATTAGGTTTGTATTAATATGTGTAAACAAATACTAGGTTAAAAAATAAAAAGACATATTGGCAAGGATAAATTTCTTTATTTTTTAATAGGAACAACACAAATACTTACCATTATTATATTTTTAGGAACATTTCTATAAACATTGCAATAAAAGTACTTACCTAATATTTATAAATTGGCATTAAAATCTTAGAGGACACCGGACATAAAAATAAAATAATGAATATTAAAAAAAACAGCTTATAATATTATCAAACTTAGGTTATTTAGAAACAAAATAAAAAGGACATAAATGAAAACATAGCACACTCTTTCTATTATATTTTAATAACAACAAACTCTTCTTAGGATTGTGAAAATAGAATCATAAAAAATCATCATAAAATAACAAAAATAATTATGACTTACTTAATAATTTCTATAAGATCAACTTAAAATCAAGATAACTAGAAATCAGGTAACTATTTATAGTTATTGGCATAGTAACTATCCTTGGCTTTAGAGGATTTTTTTTTATTAGAAATTATATATAGGTAAGTAATTGAAAACAGTTGAGTTATTTTTAATTAAACAAACCAAATTTTTGGTTTTATGGAGCTGTGAAAACTATTATTATTTTGAAAAAACAATGATAAAATGAAGATGAAATTTAAAGAAATTTAAATGATTTAAAAAAGAAAAGACTTTTATAAGTACTATTCTGAATCAGAAAATTCAACATTATGAGAGCCAGCAACAAAAGATAGACTCTTGAAAAAGTCATGATATGTGGCTGGAATAATTCCATTATGACAGAGACTCATTAAGTCATCATATTTTGCCTTTGTTAAGGGAAGATGGTTGAATAGAGAGGGCATAGCTCAGCCATACTATTTTTCTGGCGTCTTCGGGTATTGGTATTAATGGCAATCGTCATAGCATTACTGTTTGCCAAATCGTGCCTATATTCAATTTTAAAAGGATCTTCTGCACATACCCGCACTTCTTTTATTTTGTTCCATTTAACTACGTCTCCACTTATATTTTTTGACCAATTACGCCCGTCCAAAAGTTGTTTAAAGTTATAAAAATCGGTGTGCTTCATTTCTATGACGTTATATGATTTTCCATCCTGTTTAGCCCATCTAACCAAGCTAAACCATTCCGGAGGTGTATATATAAGTTTATTTTAGATGATCTTTCTATTAAAGCGTGTACGCTGTCACCCTCTGCTTGGGTATGACCTTTTTCGAGAAAGGTATGTTTTATAGTAATGTTAAGTTTATGAGCAATATACATATAAAACGCAAAAACAATGCGATTACGGTTCTGACCGGCACAATTGTCAGACCAGAATCTGAATTCTTTTGCACCCTGTTCATGCATTTTTTGTATAAAATGAGAAAGACAGCTTGATACCTCATTAGAACCACGCTTAGCTTCTCCTTCGTGCCACATATAACAATGTCCCTCTTTATTTGCTACATCAAACAAAGTAAAATTCAAAACCGACAACTTCTGCTTGTAATATAAAATACTCAGTTGGCCATGAGGTGCATTAAGAATCTTTTGAAAAATCAAAAGTAGCTGCGACGATTTTACCTTGTGAAGATTTGCTGTCATTTTTATCAGATTTCATGATTTGTCGGGATAACTTCTTGTTTGTGACATGATTTTTATGATCTGCGATTTGTTGTTCAGTAGGACCGTCATAATTTCTAAAAATGTGACATTGATCGCATTGATCTTTCTTAGGCACGTAAAAACTGAGCTTAAAATTTTCATTTACAATATCTCGATATTGACGTTCGGTTTCAGCTTTCTCTTCATATTGTGTGTTAGCCTGAAGCCACTCATAGTACATTTCAAATAATTTAGGAAAATTTAAATATCCATCCAAATATAATTTGTTTGACCTTTGCCTCGTATACACACTGGTTATAACCGAATCTGTTTTTTTTTACGGGATGGTTTGAATGTCTACCTCTTTTATCTGGGACTAGTACTCCCGTTGTCGTATCCATCTTTTCTAGAGCCTTATAAATAACCTGATCACTGACAGACAAAGTGCTTAAAAAGTGTTTTTGCACACATCCACATAATTAATATTATCATTGTCATGACCTACTGGTATTAAGTATTTTAACGTGTACTTACGTCTTGAAACTGTATCTGTATAGACTCATACATCCATTGCTTTTCTCGATCGCCTAAGCTCCATAAAACTCTCAAAAATCTTCTTTCTTTGTTCTTCGCTTAATTTGTCAAAGCACTTCTTGCGGCAGCGACATGGTGGGCCCATCTTTCTGCTTGCTTGTATTTTACCTTTTCTCGAAATATATTCTTTTCCCAAATTACGTAAATACTTTCTTTTATTATCTATCCATTGTTGATGTCTTTTTCTTACATTACCTTTATCTTTCCTTGATGGACGACGGCGGCGGTCACTTGTGGTGGGACTATTATTCGAAATATCCGACAGCGGACTATTGTTCGTGGTTGTATACGTCGAGCAGCTAGAAATCCATGCTGGTGAGGGTTGTGGTATAATATCGAACGCTGATAAATTTTCTTTTTGTATATAATATGGGCAGAAATCATTATCACAGTCGTAGTCCAAGTGATTGATACTACAAGAAGGGGAAGGGTGCGGTCTCTCAAGATTTGCAGTATCAGAATCTGTTGCTACTTCTAAGTTGTCAAAGATGTTTCCATCTATTATATTTGCCAACTCATTCATTTCAGATTCATTAAAACTTATTGGCAGTGGTGACTCTGAAACAGTATTAACGTTTTAATTTGATTGCAACCCGCGTATGTCCTGATGCCTACATCGTTTAGGGAAGACATACACCTTTTACCTCTCCAACATATAAAATGCTTTATCCTGGCTGACTGACTTAACGATCCACCAAAGCAGGTCGCACATAGTTGCCTGTGCGACCTGCGTTAGTGAAGCATTAAGTCAGTGGGGCAAGGCATTTTATAATGTTGCAACATCCAATTTTAGAAAAGACTTGACATACATCATCGAAAACGAAAAAGGAATAACAAAGTAAAATACAGCATGTCACCATACAACAAAGTTTTGAATAACAACTCCCGAAGTAAAATGTGGTATCTATTACATACAACAATATTTTTATTTAAATGTAAACGTAAAATGTTATATGTATTACGTACAACATTTTTATGAACGCTCAACGACGTATACTGTTGTAAGTAACCTATACAACATTTTAGGTTGGTATCACGACAAAAAAAGTAACATTAACCTTATTAATGCTAATAAAATATTACAAAAAGAAACATATACCTGTGATATTTCGGAGACTTGAATTACGAAAGCTGTTTAGTTCTATTTCATCTAATGAAACATTGTTATTTTCAATGGGTGTTTCGGAGTTTCTATTTGTGTACTCGTATTATTGACCATATCACATAGTCTACGTCCTCTTGTTATTATCCTTGTACGATTCATTGTTAAATATTTGAAGTAATTCAATTACGTATAAAGTTATTTTTGAAAAAACTTAAACGGTTCCTACATCATGCGTGCGGCCGGTTGAAAGTCTGGCGTGGTCTGTTCATCTGTTGTATTTGTATGTGACCAATACGAGACGCGGGCGCGTGATTCTCCCCGCCCTGCACCCCGCGTAAGCTATTGTAAAGTGGGTGATAGACGTACGAACTTAAGGCGCTACCTCCAGCGAACGACCTTGAGCGTTTGGTCTGTCGAAGCTCGCTACAATATATCGTGTAAGAAATCGCCAAAAGACGCCACCTACTGCTACGAACGTAGTATTATTTTTTCGATGTCAATGAACTATTCTATGGAAATGGACACGGCGTACAATGATAAATGTATTTTAATTTTCTTTATTCGATATATTAGTTGCATTATATTAGAATTATGTATTCTAATATATTATCTAATTAATAAAAAAGACTATTTTGATTATTTTTAACTATATACTATACTGCTAATATTGAATTAGCTTTTTATAGTGTAAATTATAATATTTGTCGAAATATTAATTATGGATTCGAACTTTACATGCTAATGGTGCTTCATTTTTGTTATTTTCATTTACTTACATATTGAAAATATACTTGAATAGTATGTATTATTATTTTATTTAGCTTCTGAATTTTAGGATATGTTTTACCTTGAGGTCAAATATAATTTTGAGGAGCAATAGTTATTACCTACTAATCTTTTATCTGCTACTCCTTATTTAGGAACAATATTAGTAAATTGAGTTTGAGGGAGATTTACTGTTTATAATGCTACATTTATTATTTTAATATTTACCTACTGGGTAGGTAATTATTAAAATAATAAATATAGCATTAGTAAATAAATAGATATTTTTTTTTAATTTTTAAAATTAAAATTTTCGTATTTTTAAAAATTACTAAAAAAAAGGGTTTGAAATAATAGATTTTATCACAAAAGAAGAGAACTTGAAAAAAAAAGGAAAAAAAAGCGGGACCAAAGCCAAGACGCGAACCACGGAACTCCGATATCACGCCCGACCGACATACCACCTGAGCTATAACGACCGTTAGTGATTTGTCGAAATTTACTTTCTTATATTGTAGCAGTTTTTTTATTGCCTGAAAACATGGACAGAAGGACATTTTCTAAAAATAAATCCAAGCGTTCGTCGCTAAAATCGTTGGAGCCGTATAATTTTCTCATCTGGTTCGGTTATATAAATATTTAAATATATAAAAATTATAAATTAAAATGAAAACATAAATATCAATAAAATAAAATAAATACAAAATAATATTATATTATTATTGTTATTATTATTATTATAAGTTGTGGTTCGGTGAAGCTGCAACCTAATGGACCACGATCTGAAATTTTTATGAAAAGAAGTGGCTGACGTCAATTATTATTATTCTTATTATTTTTTCATTACTGCCTTTTTCAACCTCACAAGATATTTGTAACTGCAAAAAAAAACTACGTATAAGTAAGTAAATCAGTAATATAGTGTTATGTATGATTCAGACTAAATAAAGGTTCCTAAAAATAGACGTAGATAAAGAAATTGCATAAAAAATTACTCAAATAAAAATGCAATAAACTTGTTAATTTTATAGGTACTTAGTAAAATATTAAAATAATAAGTTTTTTAGGATATTTATGTAAAATATAAAGGTTATATTATGTTCTAACTACGTTCACGCTTACGCATATAAAACCGCGGAATTTCACTAGTTTTATTATCAAAATAATAATTGACAACCCTACCCTAAGTTTGCCTTGATTTTACCAACTCAAACTCGTTTTAGGAGATCAAAACATAGAGAAAAAGATAGGAGACTATTTTTTATTTAATATGGTTGGATCTTTATTTATTTGTATATTTTTTGTATTTATTTTATTTTATTGATATTTATGTATATTTATCTTTTCATTTTAATTTATATTTATAAAAACCAACCAGATGAGAAACTGTACAGATACCTCAATAATAATAATATAATAATAATAATATTCCACAACTATCACACAACGCCATCTAGTCCCAAGCTAAGCAGAGCTTGTGTTATGGGTACTAGACAACTGATAAACATACTTATATATTTCTAAATACATAAATATTATAGATAAATTACACCCAGACACAGAACAAATGATCGTGCTCATCACACAAACATTTGTCCTGGGTGAGAATCGAACCCACGACCTGCAGCATAGCAGTCAGGGTCACTAACCACTAGACCAACAGGCCTGACGATAAATAAAATAAAGTCTCTAGCTCGAGAGGAGAGGAGCCGTGGTAGCTCAGATGGTTGGCGCTTGCTAAAATTTTCACAGTGTGCGAGCAAACCGGGTTCGATCCCCGCCGGCACCAATAATATTGTAATTGCAATTTTAAGTGTTGATTTACCACGTGCTCAGTGGTGAAGGAAAACATTGTGAGGAAACCTGCATGTCTGAGAAATAAGAAAAAAAATATTTCGAAGACATGCAAAGTTCGCCAACACGCAGTGATAATTCCTTTCCTAGGACCCTTTCAGAAAATAGAATAAAAATAAAAAAATAATAAATCCAAACTTCATTTAAAACCAAACATATAAATTGTAAAGTAGCTGCAGGTATCTATAACCAAGTAAAAGATATTCCTTTACTCCAACTTGTCCATGTTTCCCAAAACAATTTTTAATTAAGCTTTATATTATAATGCGGATTTTTTATATTTAAAATTTTAATAATAAAGCATTTCGTACGTCTCAGCCGAGGCGCAAATATTTTTCGGCCGCAAATTTATAAGACCGATTTGTTATTCAAACATAAACATGGTTTTTTAATTAAATCTACCAATCATAAAACGACACGCATTTTTATTGAACACTTCCTATTCAATTCACAAAGTACCTATTATATATTTGTTTATATAAAAAATTATATTTAAGTACAATCATAAAACTAAATGGAAACACAAAGTAGGAAAATGCATTGAGTTATAAAACACATAAATCAATGGGCAAATGTAAAAATGCTGGAGGCAGGCATCCCTATCGCATGTTTACGTACCGTACGGCTGTAATATTTATTTCTAAGATACGGCCGAGTTACAATATACCGTGACGTAAGCGCATCGGTTGGTAGGTACTCAAATAATATTATGTTTGCGGGAAGGGCGACGCGGCCTTGAGCGTAATGCCGCCCGCACTCTGCGCACGCCCCTTTATCATAGAAGTCACACAATTTTCGGAATTATTTCAATTAAAAGAGAAAAAACGAACTTAAAAATTTAAATAAAACGTGGAGAATATAGATTTTTTAATTATCTATCCATTAGTGTTATCCTCAAATGATTAGAGCGTTGCGTTTAGCAACAGATGCATGTAATCAAGAATTTTAGTCATTTTTTAAAAGTTGATTTTAAATGTATTTATAGCACATAAAAATAAATTAGAACGTGGAATGCGATGATAAGATATCGAACATTAATAATGTACTTTTAGATGTAGTTTATTTTTCATAACTAATGAGATAATAGAGTCTGAAAAACGCACTTTCGCAACATTTTGGTCAGGGATTCACCTTAAAGTAGGCGGTTTTTAAGATCGCGAACTTACTTGGCTCGACGTTGGCGACACACGCGCCAACTTACTCATACCGTATCGCGATGTCGTCCACTGAAGAAACTTTGTGTTATTTAGGAATTATATCGTATTACATTTTAAAAACTAAAAACAATAGACAAAGGCGAAAAGTGTGGGTTAAGAACTGACTTACAAAAAGAGAGCGTTTATCACATGTGAATTTAGTAAGAGAGTTACGTGAAGAGAAGGAAGATTTCCAGAATTATTTCAGAATGCCTGAGCCTGTGTATGAAGAACTTTTGTGTTTTGTCACACCAATTATAGCTAAACAGGATACTTGCATGAGAGAAGCTATTTCACCGCATGAACGTTTAAGTGCAACATTACGATTTTTGATAACTGGTGGAACATATAAAGATGTAATGTATTCGTCAGCGATATCAAGACAGTCATTGGGGTAAGGTGTACTGGGGTAATTCCGACGGGAATTTTTACGAGATGACTAGAGGTCTATATTTCGGTTAGTTAGGTAAAGTAACTTCATATTTACTGACAATAGTATGCGACTTCTGTTAACTTAATGAAAATATTTAATCTATGGATATATTAGATTCATAACTATGTAGTTGGATTCACTAAATAGAGCATTTTGAATTATTGAGTTATAAGTTTTTGGTATAGGGGAAATTACGAACTATCTTGGGGTTATTCAAAAATTATTCAAAAGTTTATTTTATTGTACTTTGACCGAAGGCTTACATTTCTTTTTCAATCGTATTTAACCCTTACACAAAATATCATGAATTTTAGTAATAGTATCGCTAATATAATTTTTTATGGTCTTGTATTTCGGAATTACCCCTAGAAGAGATTGTGGTTCTCAACATTTCAATTAAGTTTTTTTTGTTTATTCTCAGTAATTGTCACCCACTTTATTGCCAGTAATTTTATTTCCACTGGTGACAAACGAGAAAAATGTCACAGTTGTCATCGAAGTTGCCGTAGAAGTGAGTTGACAATAATTGATAGTTCTGACAGATCTCTGCGCGGAATAGAACAAGTAGTATAAATGATTACATAATTTAATAATGTCGTTATGTTTTAATAATTTAAATTATTATTATAAATTAATATTATTATTTTAATCCTGATAAAAATGAATAAAATGACTGCGGATTATTAAAAATTTGTACATTACCAAAGAGACAAACATGTTGCTTTTAGCAGGGGTTAATGCTCTTATGAAATTTAACGGTCAATTAAGATGAGCTGAAACTGTAGATACTTGAAGAAATAAAGCATAGGTAGAGATTTTTATAAAAATACCTTTTATTCAGTGCTTTTTGCAAAATAAAATAAACTTTCTACATGTATTATTGTCTTACACTTAAATCAATCATCCTTAAAAATGTTAACTCAAAGTAGGAACGGTCACAACCACCATTTTCATTTTCTTTTGGTATAAAGTACTTAAGCACTAACCTTATCAAATAAAAAAACTTTGCTGCTAGCAAAACTAAAATTATAAAATGCTTCAATTTTTTTTAAATATAACAAAATTGGTTAGGACATTGTAAAAACATCGCATCTATATAATAATGATATAAAATCACTGTTACATAATCAGTCAAAGTAAATTGTATCTTCATAATTAAGTAAGTAATATTCTTTTTCGTTATATTTTTTTAAATCTATCTTCTTCACTATTAATGACTTTGGAACTTTATCAATATCCTTTCTTTTAGTCGTTATAAAGGTAAGGCGCTGCTGTGGTCTCACGGTTTTTAGAAAATTGATAGTGAAGTATATTTCTTCATTTTTTATTATATTTTCTATGAACCCCACAAAATACTTCCATTTATTCCTTATCAAATATCTGACGAGTACTGAATCATTTAGTTGGTAATTTTCCTTCATAGCAAGGTTCTCTTCTTGAGTCTCGCATATTATTTCTTTACTTTCCTGTTTAAGTAGCAGTTGCTCATCTTTGTCCTTTTCTTTCGAGAATTCTCTAGTTGTCATATTTTTTTCTTTAGTAAAAACATCAATATCACATTCGTAATTTCTTTCAATGAGTCTTTCCTCTTTATTTTCTTCGACTTTTTCTTCCACTTTGTTTTCTTTCCCTTTACTTCTTTTGCCTACACCTTTACCCTTAATACAGAGAGGATTTAAATTCTTGTTAGTAAGAAAACCATTTTCAGAGTATTCATCCGTCAATTCTTCAAAATCAACACATTCAATAGTATCAGAATCACTATGTACGCTCATAATGTCGGATACACTAGTTATGCTGTCAAGTGAAGGCTGGCGTTTTCGTTTCTTCTTATTCCTTATGCCTGAAGGGCCTGGATGATATTCTTGTTGCTGTGCTGTAAATATTGTTATTTCAGAATCTTCCTTATTTTTTACTTTTGCTGTTCTTTTTTTGTAAATTTTACTGGGGTTAGCTTTCGCTTTCTTAGCTTTTACCGTTTCTTCTAAAATTTTCTTACCCATTGTTGCTGTTATCACTTCAGCACCTTTAGTGACATGTTTCTTTTTTGTCGGTTTATTATCTTTTTTGTCCTGTTGTATTTTTCTTAAAAGCAGTTCTTCGAATGTGCATGATGGCTCGGGTAGTCGTTGAGCTTGAAGTAACTGTGGAGATGCTTTTTTGATGATAACGTTCGAGATTATTTTTATTTTTGATAAATTTTGAGTTGATGTTTGATTAGAATTCTGTAAACATATAGGTATTTGGGATGGTTGTTTTGCGACAAAACTCAAAGTCTGGATATCAGGTTTCGATACCAGAGACAACAAGGTATCCTTATCAGTGTTTGACGATTTCTGTAAACATGCAGGTAGTTGGGTTGGCTGTCTGGCCACAAAACTCAAAGTTTGGATACTGGACTTTGAAATTTGCGACAGCAAGGTAACGTCATCGGTATTTGCATTTTCAAAAGCATCATTTGTTGTTGCAAGTTGATTGTTAAACAAGCCAATACAAATTTCTTGTAGTGACTTCGGATTTTTTTGGTGTCGGTTGTGTGGAAGCTAAATGTTTTTCTAATGTCTTTTTTTGGTACCTTTTATATGCATCTGGATCATATTTGTCCACAGGTATCACGTGCGCATTGAAAGGGAAAATCCCAGCTTTTCTAAATCCACTTTTGATAATATTGGGGTTTGTTTCTCTCCAAGTATCTGCCAGCACTTGAGCGAAAACTTTTTTTGGCATTTTCGTGCCAACATTTCTACGCTGCCACTCTACCAGTTTTGCATCCCATATTGACTTGAATGACTTGAATACTGCTATATCAAGAGGCTGCAGCAAATGTGATGTGTGTGGCGGTAGTTTAAGAATTGTGATACGGTTTCGTATTGCCAGTTCCACAACTCTTACATGGACGTGAGTTGAGTGACCATCATAAACAATAAGAACCGGGCGCTCCTCGCCCAAACTTGGGATAAGAACTTTTTCTATATAATTATAGAAAATGTCTGTTTCCATCCACCCTTTAGTACTGGCTGCATACGATAATTCGAAATCGTAATCACCACCAACCAGTTCAGCCATCCACTGATCCCAAACAAATTTGCCTTTAAATACAATCAAAGGCGGCAACTTCTTCCCATTAGCGCTTGCGCCTGTCAACATAGTGATATTTTCTTTTCCACTCCCATGGGTGGACCTCGCACAAGGTTTATTTATTTGTCCACATACTTTAGTTCTGGATGGATCCAGGCATAACGACGTTTCATCTAAGTTCCAAATGAGTTGGGGACTTTCAAAAAGATCCAAATCTTTTAAAGTATTTTCGAGCAAATTGAAATATTCACCAATGACGAATGGATCTGTCATTTTTCTTCTTACAAATTCTACAGGCTGTGCTTTTTTAATTGATAATCTATGTCGTTTCCGGAAATTAATGAACCAGTCTGTGCCTGGGACATTATTTTTAAATGGTGTTTGAATCTTATTCACCCGCACATATTCAGCGACAAGCTCCATAATTTCAAACCTAGACAGACCATATCCCCATTTTTCCATAATTCTGACAGTTTCTGCTAATTTTTTCTCATCTTCTAGGCGTATAACGGTTGGTCTACCTGCATTTGGTCCGGTAGTTTCTTTACCTTTTTTTAAGTTTTCATGAAGAGTCGTCATTGGAATTTTGTACTCTTGCGCTGCTCTATATTGCGTAAGTTCTCCATTTTTTACCTTTGCGATCGCTTGAGCTAAATCTTGTGGAGTGTATGATTTAATTTTCTTTCTTATGTAAGTCCGAGGCATAATGGCTCTGAAAAAGAAATAAGTTCCTACTTACTTAACATATACGTCACACCTGTATTTCCCGAAGGATTGGGAATACATTAATTTTAAATTACAATGTTATTTAAAACATAAACTTTAAAATAAGTTAAAACCGCCTTCAAAAAGAACGCAATATGTGTGAAACAGTTTAGGAAGTAGATGCTCGAAGTTGATTCTTTGATTTGGTTTATTGGGTACCGAATTTCGAAACTGCCTCACACACATTATTGTGTTCTTTTTGAAGACGGTATTAACTTTTTTATTTTTCTATTTGGAGTGACTTACACATACCACTTTTTGCTGTTAATTAATTCATAGGCGAAGTAAATTAAATGTCGTTTATTGAAGCTTATTAACCCATTTGTTGCAGTTATTTTTTAAAACAATTCAACCAAAATTATTAAAATATGGAACAACGTCCGTTTCCTCTACCAATTAAAAAAAGAACAATTAAAATCGGTTCATAATCGCCGAAGAAATCGAGTAAAATACACACAAAACAGATATACAGTCGAATTAGAAAACCCTCCTTCTTTTTGAGGTCGGTTAATAAGTAATGATTAGTAATATAGAATCATTATCTACAATAAACCCAAGTTTTCCAACAAACTTCGAAATAATAATAAAATTTTGCATACTTCATGTAATGTCATGCAAATCATCTGATCGTACAGATTGAGAATCACTGTCAATTTCTATGGAAAAACTAAGTGGGGTTATTGCGGAATGGTTATACATCGGAATCACCCCAGAGGGGTATGTACGAAAAAATATTGAAAACACAGCTAGTACGTTGTTTTCCTGTCACGAATTCGCTAAAAACTATAACGTATCGCAAAAACAAGCACTTATTGAAATAACTTACCAGAATTCCGGGATAAATATGTTGGGGTTATTGCGAATCAACAAAAATGGCGCGAAAAACACTCTTTTGACAAAACTTGATGCTACGCACGTTATGTTGACACTAGCTTCTCACGACGACTGATGCGGCGAGGATAATCAATATGGCGTCTAAACCAATGTTGCCAATAGGAAAATATCGCTACGATTAGTAGAATCTTTGAATTTTCGGAATATACCCTTTTTCGGAATTACCCCAGTGCACCTTACATAATTCCTGAGACATGTGACGCAATCTACTCTGCACTGAAAACATATTTGATGGTATGTATCATTTATTACATACTTTATAAATAAAATAACTCAGTACAAATAATCAGACTTTATTTTGCAATGGCACATTAACATTAATGCTTAACAAATAAATTTACTCTTGAACATATACAAATGTAACGTACTATTTTATTTATTTTTAGTTATTATTATTAAAGTTTAAATATTCAACCAGGGTGTCCGGGATACTAATAGTTTGCGAGTCTTGTGTCAAGTTAAATGCTTGTGTTTCTTGCAGCTGGACTGTAACAGCTGGCATGTGTATCAATGGTCTTTGGGGTACCTGGACTGGAACTGGATTATGTATACTTGTATTGAATGTTAATTTTTCAAACCGTCCCAAAAAATAACTTCATTGATGAGCTTTTCAGCTATGCCTTGTTGAATAGCAGTCATGTTGCGGAGTTTAATTGCGACATTTTTTCCTATAGCATCATATTCATCATCTGGGTTTTGTAATCTTTTACCTATTAACGATATTGTGTCTTCAATGGCGGCATTGCCGTGTCGCTTACGACGTGCAGATGAAGCAACAGATGTTGCAGGTGTCACAGGTGATGACACGTTGCAAATGGTACTCTGTAAATAAAAATATCATTTATACTGAATTATGGGTTTTTTTGTTACAGTTCCCGAGTTCAGAAGAAGAATGGCTAGCAATTGCTGAAGAGTTTGAGCGTACATGGCAATTTCCAAATTGTTTAGGAGCCGTCGATGGGAAACATGTAGCTATAGTCCCTCCTGCCGGAGCCAGCTCACATTTTTTAATTATAAAGGGTATCACAGTATTGTACTTATGGGAATTGCAAATGCAAATTATGAATTTATTTATGTAGATATTGGAACAAATGGACGTATTTCTGACGGAGGTGTATTACAAAAAACTACATTCTTTCAAAGATTGAATTCCAAGCGCTTAAATCTTCCTAGCCCCAGAAAACCAAGCGGTCATTCAGAAGAATTGCCTTATGTATTTATTGGCGACGAGGCTTTTGCTTTGAGGACAGATTTTATGAAACCGTACCCACAAAGGCAATCACAGGCTAGCTCAAGTAAGAGGATATACAATTATACAGTATGCAGGGCTAGAAGAATTATAGAAAATGTTTTTGGAATTCTGGCGGCAAGATTCCACATTTTTCGATCGCCTATAAATACCAGTGTGCACAATATTAACAAAATAGTTTTGGCATGTTGTGTATTGCACAATTTTTTAAGGAAAAAATTAAGACAAGCTTACAGTCCACATCAGCACTTAGATAGTGAAAATCACGAAAATGGAACGATTGAATTGGGGCTGAGACCACAAAATGGAGAATTACAGTCACTACAACAAACACATAGTCGTAACCCCACTCAAAATGCAAAAATTATCAGAGAAAAGTATGAAACCTACTTTAATACTAGTGGTGCAGTGTCATGGCAACAAAGAATGATATAATAATAGTATTTTTATCTGGGTATCATTTTCACTATGTTCAGCATCAAATGTATTTTCATTATCATTAGCTGTCTCCAACAAAAACTTTAATTGTTTCAATAAATTCCATAATGAGTTAATTTATTGTCTCAATAAACATTTGTTCCCAATAAATTGGTTCTGATGACATAATGATGTAAATTTCCACCAACCCATTATTTTAAAAAAAAATTAAATAATTTTATGAATATTTTTTTAAAATTATTTTTACCTCACTATAGAGCTAACCTTACATCCAAATAAATTTTATTTGCTTAAAAAGGAAAAATCATGCATTTAAGGGTTAAAATGCAGATGCGTTATCATCCGTGAGAACTAAGATGGAACGCTTCATTTCCAGTAAAAAGGGTCTCTGGATCTCTACACTCACCATACAAACACTGCATATTAAGCTACTATTCTATACTGGTATTCTGTGAGAGCATGGTCCTTCCCTGGTCGAGCCGACCCAATCATGCTACGAGTATACTACTAATATAACTGCAGCGTGGCTTCACCACATATAAATAATATAAGGTACACAAAAAGACATTTGATACATGAAGGCTGGAATTCCAGCCATAATGTCTTCCTGCCATTTAAAAATCACTAATCTCTCAAGTAAATACTGGCGTGTTTATTAATTTACTTTTATATTTTAAATTATGATATTATTTATATTGCACTCTACCCATTAATTAACTTTTTGCTTATTTTTATTTCCTATTTAGGTTGTCTGCAAGAAATTGCTACATAGTAAGACTGCCTTTTGTTTTTCACTGTTTGTTTCTTGTTATTTGTTTTCTTAGTATACAATAAACGATATTGTATTATATCATTTTTAAAATTGTTCTTGCAATAGAATAGAATTGTTTTTATTCAATATACATTCCATGTAATTCTTTCTCTTCAGAAAAAACCTCTGTCCTGTAAAGAACCAGCAAGAAACTCAGCAGGACTTTTTCTTTAAAAAAAATAATTTACAGTTCATTATTTTATGCAATTAGTATGAAGATATTAGAAACAACATGGTAGCATCACATACTCTTTAAAAGTATAACAATCTTTATTAACACAGTACTCTTACTCTTAGTGGACCTATTAAACAATTTGTGCTTAGTAAATATTTTGAGCCTTTTGCTAGATAACACTTGCATATTTTCTGCAACTTTGTTGTATAAGTAAATACATTGCCCCATGAAGGAATCACTGTTTGGAATCAAGTAACTGGTAACTTAACTTAGTAAATATTTTGAGCCTTTTGCTAGAAAACACCTGCATATTTTCTGCAACTTTGTTGTATAAGTAAATACATTGCCCCATGAAGGAATCACTGTTTGGAATCAAGTAACTGGTAACTTAACTTGGTAAATATTTTGAGCCTTTTGCTAGATAACACCTGCATATTTTCTGCAACTTTGTTGTATAAGTAAATACATTGCCCCATGAAGGAATCACTGTTTGGAATCAAGTAACTGGTATAAAAACTTTTTATAAATTTTTTATAACTTTTTATAAATCACTATTTAAAAAAACTATTTTTCTTTGTGTAAGTAAGTAACATCGCAAGTTTAATGTAACATATGTTAAATTTTCAATAATATAATGGGGCTGAAGTTAATAAATTTATTAGTTTAAATTTTTCTCTAATTGATAACCTAGGTCTGAACCTAGGTTATCAATTGCTCTTATGCCAGAGAGTAGTAGGTTCTTTGCTCTTATGGTTCTCGTCTGCAAAACAAAGTTATGTCAGTTGCATTACCCCAAAGCAAGGTACCATTATGACATTATGCCATAGAAATAGCTAATTAAGCTGTTTTTTTACAGCATATGCTGAAGGTAAAAAAGTTTACTAGCTAGTTTAGTAATAGTATTTTAATAACATGATTGTAGATAAATGTTCAATACATATTTGGATAAATTAACTTACAATTTAAACAAGCTCACAAATATTGTGCCTATTTAAAATTGTACAAACTTTTAAGGTTGAAATTGGCACTGGGCTGATATGGACATCCAACCTATGTAGCATTGTAAGAAAAGTGAAAAAACACGGGCATATAAAAAGCTAAGAAGATATTGTTGTAGATTTAGTCTAGATAAAGTTATTGTAATATATTTTTTATTAATTAATTAACCAATGACTGTTCATACAATGTGACAAAGCATATCTTTAAATAAAACTACAGTTCTTTGTTTTAAATCCATTATTATTAGATATCACCTAAAATATTTCATGGTTTTAATGGTTTAATGGTGCATACACATACAGATAAATACAAAGAAAATGACAATGTTTAAAATTGCATTTAATCACCTTATGGAGTAGGTGCTACCATAGCAA